CTATAACTACAACTACAGCTGCTCCAACTACAACCACAGCTGCTTTAACAACAACTACATCTGCTCCAACAACAACCACATCTGCTCCAAAAGCTACATCTCCTCCAACCACAACTACATCTCCTCCAACCACAACTAAAACTGCTCCAACCACAACCTCAGCTGCTCCAACCACAACCACAGCATCTATAACCTCAACTACAGCAGCTCAAACACACACAGCTGTTCCAACCACAACTATAGCTGTTCCAACCACATCTTCAGCTGCTCTACCAACAACCACAGCTGCTATAACCACAACTACAGCTGCTCCAACAACAACCACCGCTGCTCCAACCACAACTGGAGCTGCTCCAACCACGAACACAGTTGCTATAACCACAACTACAGCTACTCAAACCACAACTAAAGCTGTTCCAACCACAACCACAGCTGCTCTAACAACAACCACAGCTGCTCTAACAACTACAGCTGCTCCAACCACAACCACAGCTGCTCTAACAACAACCACAGCTGCCCTAACAACAACTACAGCTGCTCCAACCACAACCACAGCTGCTCCAACTACAACCACAGCTGCTCCAACAACAACCACAGCTGCTCTACCCACAACCACAGCTGCTATAACTACAACTACAGCTGTTCCAACCACGAACACAGTTGCTATAACCACAACTACAGCTGCTCCAACCATAACTACAGCTGTTCCAACCACAACCACAGCTGATATAACCACAACTACAGCTGCTCCAAAGACAACTACAGCTGGACCAACTACAAGCAATGCTGCAATAACCACAACTAAAGCTGTTCTAACAAGAACTACAGCTGCTCCAACCGCAACCACAGCGGCTATAACCATAACTACAGCTGCTCCAACTACAACCACAGCTGCTATAACCACACCTACAGCTACTCCAACCACAACTGCAGCTGCTACTACCACGACCACAGCTGCTATAACCACAACTACTGCAGTTTCAACAACAAGCACAGCTGCTATAACAACAACTACAGCTGCTCCAATAACAAATGCAGCTGCTGCAACCACAACTACAGCTGTTCCAACCACAACCACAGCTGCAATAACCACGACTACAGCTGCTCCAGCATCAACTACAGCTGCTCCAACTACAACCACAGCTGCTCTACCCACAACCACAGCTGCTACAACAACAACTACAGCTGCTCCAACTACAACCACAGCTGCTATAACCACAACTACAGCTGCTCCAACAACAACCACATCTGCTCCAAAAGCTACATCTCCTCCAACCACAACTACATCTCCTCCAACCACAATTACAGCCGCTCCAACAACCACAGCTGCTCCAACCACAACTACAGCTGTTTCAACCACATCTTCATCTGCTCCAACCATGACCACAGCTGCTATAAGCACAACTACAGCAGTTTCAACAACAACCACAGCTGCTCCAACCACAACTACAGCTTTTCCAARCACAATGACAGTTACAATAACCACGACTACAGCTGCTCCAACAATAACTACAGCTGCTCCAACTACAACCAAAGCTGCTCCAACAAAAACCACAGCTGCTCTACCCACAACCACACCTACTATAACTACAACTACAGCTGCTCCAACTACAACCACAGCTGCTGTAACCTCAACTACAGCAGCTCGAACAACCACAGCTGCTCCAAACACAACCACAGCTGCAATAACCATGACGAAAGCTGCTCCAACAACCACTACAGCTGCTCCAACTCCAACCACAGCTGCTCCKAAAACCACCACAGCTTCTCCAACCACAAATAGAGCTGCCCCAATTACAACCACAGCTGCTCCAACCTCAACTACAGCAGGTCCAACCACAACCATTGCCGCTATAACCACAACTACAGCTGCTCCAACAACAACTACAGTTACTCCAACAACAACCACTGCTTCTCCAACCACAATTGCAGCAGCTACTACAACAACCACAACCGCTACAATCACAACCACAGCTGCTATAACCACAAGTACAACTGCTCCCACTACAACCACAGCTGCTCCAACAACAACCGCAGCTGCTCCAAAATCTACATCTCCTCCAACCACAACTACATCTCCTCCAACCACAACTACATCTCCTCCAACCACAACTACAGCTGCTCCAACCACAACTACAGCTGTTCAAACCACAATATCAGCTGCTCCAACCCCYACCACAGCTGCTTTAACCACAACTACAGTTGCTCCAACAACAACCACTGCTTCTCCAACCACAATTACAGCAGTTTCAACAACAACCATAGCTGCTCCAACCACAACTACAGCTGCTACAACAACAAGCACAGCTGCTCCAACCACAACTACAGCAGTTCCAACCACAACCACAGCTTCTATAACCACAACTACAGCTGCTCCAACCACAACCACTGCTACTGCAACCACAACTYCAGCTGTTCCAACGACAACCACAGCTGTAATAACCACGACTACAGCTGCTCCAACAACAACTACAGCTGCTCCAACTACAACCACAGCTGCTCCAACCACATCCACAGCAGTTCCAACCATAACCACAGCTGCTATAACCACAACTACAGCTGCTCCAACAACAACCACAGCTGCTGTAACCACAACTACAGCTGTTCCAACCACAACCACAGCTGCTCCAACCACAACTACAGCTTCTCCAACTACAACCACAGCTGCTATAACCTTAACTACAGCAGCTCGAACAACCACACCTGCTCCAACAACAACTACAGGTGCTCCAACAACAACCACAGCTGTTCCAACTACAAGCACAGCTGCTCCAACAACAGCCACAGCTGCTCCAACAACAACCACAGCTGCTCCAACAAGAACTACAGCTGCTAAAACAATGAACACAGCTGCTCCAACAACAACCACAGCTGCTCCAACCACAACCACATCTGCTACAACAACAACCACAGCTGCTCCGACAACAACTACAGAAGTTGTAACCACAAATACAGCTGCTATAACCACAACTATAGCTGCTCCAACAACAACCACAGCTGCTGAAACCACAACTACAGCTGTTCCAACCACAACCACAGCTGCAATAACCACGACTACAGCTGCTCCAACAACAACCACAGCTGGTCCAACTACAACCACAGCTGCTCCAACAACAACCACAGCTGCTTTAACCACAACTACAGCTGCTCCAACTACATCAACAGCATCTTTAAACACGACTACACCTTCACCAACAACAACCACAGCTGCTCCTAAAGCTACTTCTCCTTCAACCACAACTACATTTCCTCCAACCACAACTACATCTTCTCCAACAACAACCACAGCTGATGCATCAACATCCACAGTTGCTCCAACAACTACAGCTTCACCAACAACATCCACAGCTGCTCCAAACTCAACTGCATTCGCTCCAACAACAACCACAGCTGCTCTAACCACAACTGCAGCTGTGCTCACCACAACTATAGCTGCTACAACTACAACGTCAGTTGCTCCTACCAAGACTACAGATGTTCTAACCACAACTACAGCTTCTCCTACCACAATTACAGCTGCTCCAACCGAAACTACAGTTGCTCTAATCACAACTACAATTGTTTCAGCCACAACTACACCTTCTCCAACCACAGCTACAGTTGCTCCAACCACAACCACAGCTTCTCCAACCACAACTACTGCTGCTCCAACCACAAGTACATCTTATCCAACCACTACTCCAGCTACTCCAACCACACCTACAGCTGCTCCCACAACAACTACAGCTGTTCAAACAGGAGTTGTAATCTCTACAGCTGCTCCAACCACAACTACAGCTGCTTCAACCACAACTACTGCTGCTCCAACAACAAGTACAGCCTCTCCAACCACTACTCCAGCTACTCCAAGCACAACTACAGCTGCTCCCACCACAACTACAGCTGCTCAAACAAAAGTTGCTGCAATCTCTACAGCTGCTCTAACCACAGGTACAGGTGCTCCAACAACTGCTACAGCAGCTTTACCAACAGCAGCTGCTCCAACAAAGACAACAGCTGCTACAATATCAACAGCTACTACAACATCAACAACAGCTACAAACAGAACTACAGCTGCTCCAACAATAAGAACTTCTGTTCCAACAACTATAGCTGCTACAACAACAACCACAGCTTCTCCAACAAAGACAACATCTGCTCCAACAATAACAGCTGCTGCAACAAATAACATGGCATCCACAGCTAACCTTACATCAACCAGAGCTGCAGCAATCTCCCTCACAGCTGCTTCATCAGGCACAGCTGCTGCAACTTCCACCACATTTGCCCCAACAGAAACTACACATGCCACAACTGCAACCACAATTGCCCCAACAACAAATACAACTAACGCAACAACCACTGCTTCCTCAACAGAAACTACAGTTTCACCAACAAAAATCACAACTACCACAATAACTACAGCCAACACATCAAATACAGCTAACACAAATGAAACTTCAACTGCCCCAACAACAGCCATATTTGCATCAATAGCAACTACAGCTGTTTCAACCACAACTACAGCTGCTGAAACAATGACCACAGCTAACACAGCAACCACTGCTAGTGCAACAGCATCCATAGCTGCCAAAACTGATACCACAACTAATACAACTTCAGCTACCACAAGAGCAACTAAAGCAAACACTATCATTACAGTTTTTACCGGTCCTACCACAACTGCTATAATAACTGCACCTCAACCCCCATTTCAAAAGTATACTGTTGCCACAGTTATTGTAGAACCATTTGTTGATCAACTCAATGATCCTAAAAGCAAAGCTTTCAACGATCTTGCCAAAAGAGTGTGTGCCACGGTAAGCATTATTTTGACAGATTCTTGTTATGTAGTATACATGGGCTCTATTTTGTTTTACATGTTTCTCTGATTCTTTTGGTCTCATGTTAGCCTTATCTGGTTTTCCACAGTATGATGCCATCTACCGTCCAAAATACCCTCAAACCTACATGGGCTGTTTTGTCCTTGCATTTAGGTACAGTTTTATTATCTGAAAGGTCATTTATTTACTTTTCACAAATCAAGTAATGTTGATTTTTATTGTACACTGCATACCATCAATAATCAGAGAATATAATCATTTATATTATAATCTTGTCATTTTTGACACATTTCTTGATTTTTGTGTATAATTTTCTTTTAGGCAAGTCATCATACGTTTGAATGGTACTGAAGCAAATGTGACCATAGCATTTAATCAAACCACACCAGCCGTCCAAATCCCAGCAGCTGCAGACATTCAACAAACCTTAGTAGATGCCGTGACTAATACCAATGCCACCTACAATGTTACATTCCAACCTAATGTCATCAAAGTAGAAGGTATGTAAAAAATCATCAAATGTTTCAATAAAATAGGAAAAAGTAGCCATAACAAGTTTTTATTCTGTTCGTAATCAATGCATGTATTTTGATTCATCTTCTGCTTGTTCTGGCATCCAATTGTGAGGGCTATAGCTTAAGCAGGGAGGACCAGAACTCTCTTTCCCCAGCCATCTCTTCAAGGTCTTCTGAGAGGATTCCAAGGCATTCCCAGGCCAGCCAAGAGATATAGTCTGTCCAGTGTATTCTAGGTCTTCCCCGGGGTTACCTTCCAGTCTGACATACCTGGAGCGCCTCTAGGAGTCATTCTTACCAGATGCCTGATCTAACTCAAATGGTTCCTCTCGATATGGAGGAGCAGCGGCTCTACTGAGTCTCTCTCGGATAACTGAACTTTTCACCCTATCTCTAAGAGAGATTCCAATTATCCTTCAGAGAAAACTTAATTCAGTCTCTTGTATCAGTGATCTTGTTCTTTTGGTCACCACCCATAGTTTGTGGCCATAGGTGAGCGTAGGAATGTAGACCGACTGGTAAACAGAGAACTTTGCCTTACAGCTTAGCTCCCTCTTCACCACAACAGACCAGAACAGAGACAGAAAAACTACAGAAACTGCACCAATCCATCAGTCAATTTCCTGCTCTATTCTTCCCTCACTCGTTAACAAAACCCCAAGACACTTGAATTCCTCCACTTTAATTTGAACCTCACCCCCAACCCAGAGAGAGCAATCCACCCTTTACCAACTGAGAACCATGGACTCAGATTTGGAGGTGCTGAWCCTCATCCCAGCCGCTTCATACTCAGCTGTGAACTGCTCCAGTGAGTGCTGAAGATCATGGCACAATGACACCAACAGGACCACATCATCTGCAAATAGCAGTGATCAAATCCTGAGGCCACCAAACCGGATCCCTGCATCCCTTGGCTGTACCAAGAAATTCTGTCCATAAAAGTTATGAACAGAATTGGTGACAACAGGGAGCCCTGACAGAGATCAGCTTACTGCTAGCAATGCAAACCAAGTTCACCGCTTGTATAGAGACTGCTCCAGTGTTCCATAGCAAGGYCACAACCTGTATTATTCCTCCTGAATCTGTGGTTCAACCACTGATCTGACTCTCTTCTCCAGCACCCCTGAGTAGCCCATAAAGGCTAAGGAGAGTGACATCTAATAAATGGAACACACGCTCCGGTCCCCCTTTTTGAATAGGGGTACCACCACCCCAAAGGCAAAGGCATGTCAACCAAAACAGTCCCACAACATTCAGAGCCTTAAAGAAATCAGGGCAGATCTCATGCATCCCTGGAGTTCTGCTGCCTCAGAGCTTTTTAACTACCTCAGTGACCTAAGCCCCATTTATAAAAACCAAACCTGAAGTCCTCAGACTCCACTTTCTCCATAGAAAGACATGCTGGTGTGACTGTAATTGTCAAGAAGTATTCCTTCCACCTCCCAAAGACATCACTGATTGAGGTCAACATCATCGTACCTTCACTGAACACAGAGTTAGTAAAGTGCTGCTTTCTCCACTTCAGCTACCAGATGGTTTGCCAGAATCTCCTTGGAGCTGATTAAGAGTCTTTATCCAAAGCCTCACTCAACTCCTCCTACATGAAAGCTTTTGGCTCAGCAAAATCCAGGGCTGCGGCCCACTTCACAATACTCRTCAACTGCCTGCAAAGTCCTACCAGCCAACAAGGCCCGATAGGGAACTTTTTTCAGTTTGACAGCCTCCTTAACCAGAGGTGTCCACCACCGAGCTCAAGGATGGCTACCATGGGAAGCATTGACCACCTTCTGGCCAAAGCTCTAGGCAATCACCTGAACAAATGAGACACAGAACATGGCCCACTTGGATTAAAAGTCCACCGCATCAGCTGGGATGTAGTTAAAGCTCTCTTTGGGGTGTGAATTGAAAATCACGAGGTGGTTGTGGCAGAGTGGTTTAGGGAATCATCCTGTAACCGGCATCCCGCCGGTTCATTCCCCCATTCATTTGTTGTGTCCTTGGTCAGATGGCCTGGGGGCACTTGTGCGTGGCAGCCTCTCCTCTGTCAGTCTGCCCCAGGACAGATCAGGTTACAGTGTAGCTTACCACCATAAGTGTGTGAATGTGTATATTGATAGGGGAATTTCTGTATTGTAAAGCACTTTGGAGTCTGTAGGGACTTGATAAAACACTAAGATCAGAACATTTATCATCTATTCGATGGGTTATTCTGCCAGGCTTTCCCATCAAACCCTCACTACATGTTTGGGTCTACCAGGTCTGTTAGATCAGATGACTATACAGTCAATCATTGATCTACAACCTTGGGTGTCCAGGTGCCACATGCACTTATGGTAAATGGTAAATAGTTTGATCTTATACAGTGCCTCATCATGTCTTGTCAGACTCCAAAGCACTTTACACTTCAATCATTCACCCATTCATACACTGATGGTGATGAGCTACAACCACCTTTAGGCAAGATGAAGTGTCTTCCCAAGGACACAACCAGTGAGACAGATGGAACGGGGATCAAACTGGCAACCCTCCCACATGATGACTCCTGTAGCCACTCAGCCACAGTTGCCCCATAATGCTTATGGACGCCCTTATGTTTGATCAAAGTATTTGTCATGGACAAACTGTGACTAGCACAGAAGTCRAACAACAGAATACCGCTCAGGTTCAGATTGGAGAGGCCGTTCCTTACAATCGTGTACTTCCGGGTTTCACTGTTGTTACCCATGTGAGCATTGAAGTCTCCRAACAGAATAAAAAGTCCTCAGCTAGAGCACCTTCCAGAACCCCTGCTAAGGACCCTAAGAAGGCTGGATACTCTGAACAGCCATTCAGCACATAGGTACAAATGAGTTTCAGAACCAGTCCCCTCACCCGAAGGTACAGGACAACTACTCTCTCATCTACTGGGGAAAACTCCAAAACACAGGCACTAAGTTGGAGTGTTACAGGGAGACCCATACCAGCTTGGCGCCTCTTACCATAGGAAATTCCAGAGTAGAATAATGTACTCTCCCTCTCAAGGAGATTGGTTCTGGAGCCCATGCTGTTTGTCAAAATGAGCATAACTATTTCTAGTTGGTACCTCTCAARRTCACACACCAAACTTGAGCTTCTTTCCCACCAGACAGCTCACCTATTCATGTTAAATGTATAAAATGTGTTTTAATTGGTTGTCTTTTAACTTTCTATCAGTTTTTGTGTACTTTGTTTTCACATAAGTATTAAAAACAATTTTTTCAATTTATGTTTTATTTTTGTGTTTGCAGTTGCATCTGTAACAACTGAAGCCCC